ATCATCCCACCTACCCAAAGCAGCAGTTCTGTCCTTTTTTTAATCTTTTTCTTGCCCCTACATAGCCAAAAACAAACAGAATGCCATTTTTTTGCTATCCTTAGCATTCATCGACAGCTACGGCTCTTTCTGGGCCCTAGTGTTTATGAATCTGTTTAAGAAATAGCAATTTCCTTCATTAATTCCTCCATCATTTGATGAATGAAAATTTTTAAAATGCTTATTAATTAATCCTTAACACAGGTCACAAATTTATTACTTTTTTTCTGTTTTTGGCCAAGAAAGTGTTGGCAGATGCCTAGATAGTTGAAGTTTCTTGTAACTATCAATCAACACAAATTTTATTAGGCAGTGATTCTAACCATTGGTTTTCAGTAAAATTTCAATTGGGTGAATTTTTAAGCCATTGAAGAACATCTCTATCTCTTAATCTTTCATCTTATGTGGCATTGCACAAGGTCACGTTGCAGTATTCCATTTCCATTTGGGAATTTCTATAATTATCAGACTGGACTTCTTTTGACAACAGTTTTAGTATGTAGCCTTGAACGCTAAAGTGTTTTTATCGGTAAAAATTATCTTTTTTCCAATCTTCAGTACTCTTGTCTTTGTATTGTCTTGTCCATGATAAAAATTTTATTTATAAAGCGATGGTTAACATCTTTTTATTTATTAATCTTCTACCTATTATTCTAACTTCAAGAAGTCTATGCCGCATTGTAGAGAAATAAGTAACAATGTTTCCACCTGCCAGGTTCCTCCGAAGGTTTCTCCCCCCTGAGGATTAATTAGTCTGTTTTACAAAATAGTTTGGCACATTGTTTTTTGTTTACAGTCATGCTTGACACTTCATTGAGATTAACCCTGTTTTATTGTTGACTCGAATGATCCTTGAAATACTCAATTTCCCATAGCAACAACCTTTGAAATATCTTTAGCAGTCATTGAAGTGTGCTCTTTAAGAGCAACAATTTTTTCATGTTTCTTTGGGGTCATATTCTGTTAAAGAGGATATTAAAATAGGATATTTAAAAGGATATATAAAAAGTAATTAAAAACACAAAAGAGATCAATGAAATGGATGTATGGCAAGGAATCCTATAATTAACTGAAAGAGAATTAACTAAAAGTGGAGAAACCAGCTTGTTCTGAGTCAGCCTATTGTAGGTAGAAATTACATAAATTATTGCATTTTCCAAGTAATTCATATACCAATGTATAACAGTATCATTTCTGATTTTACTTCAATTGATCCTTATTCCAATGCTCTCCATCCTGTTTATTCTTTCAGGTTCTTATATTTATGTTTTTTATGTATAGTATTCCTTTAAAATAAAGCATACCCTTCTATTGCCAAATTCATCATCAGTCCTATCGTACCAAATTTTAGCTGTATCTGTGAGGTCAAATTTTCTTCTGTGCATTAGATTCCATAATTTACTCTGCTTATTACCCATATTTTGTGCATTTGCATATAGACATATGAGGCCATATCTTTAACTGACTCTCTACTTAAATATTATGCTTTCTCCTATGTTTTGCCTGCTATTATCTCTCCCCACATTTCCAGTCTTCTTATACCTTATACCCCACCATGTCCAATGACACTGTCCTTTTAGCTGTTTCTCACATAACACAGTCCATCTCTTCCAGTTCTAGGAATTTTCTCTGGCTATCCCTCATGCCTGGAATTCTCTCTCTCCTCATCTCTACCTACTGGTTTTCCCGGCTTTCTTCAAGTCCCAACTAAAATCCCATCTTACACAGAAAGCTTTTTCCAACCCTACTTAATTCTGGTATTTTTTTTCTTTTAATTATTTCCTGTTTACTCTCTCTCTCCATATATATATATATCTATATATCTATATCTATATCTTGTTTTTACATATTTATTTGTTTGTTTTCTCCTCCATTAGATTGTGAGTGCTTTGAAGACAGGGACTGTCTTTTGCCTCTTTTTTGAATCCCCGCTGCTTAGCATAGTGCCTGGCACATTGTAGGCATATAATAAAAACTTATCAACTTATTGTTACCAAAATTGTCAGATCATTTGGGGCAGTTTTATTCCCCTGTCATCTCCCCCAGCAATTTAAAGCCTTCTTGATTACATTTGTAAGTATGGTTTTTTTTTTTTGTGGGTCCTGGTTAGACAGATTCCATTTCTAGTCAAGTTGATCATTTCTATATTTTAAGGTGTTCTTCTGAGGTCTAAATGCTATTTTCAGACAGTTGAACTAGCTGTTCACTCCCCAGATCCTTTTTCTTCTACCTTTAATTGGTAGTAGTGATGAAAACATCACTTGTTTCCCTAAGGTCTTCAGTTTTTTGTTTTTGTTTTTATTTTTTTATTTTTTTTTATTTTTTTTTTTAGGCAATTGGGGTTAAGTGACTTGCCCAGGGTCACACAGCTAGTAAGTGACAAGTGTTTGGTTCGAAGCTGGATTTGAACTCAGGTCCTCCTGACTTCAGGGCTGGTGCTCTATCCACTGTGCCACCTAGCTGCCCCCTATTTTTGTTTTTAGCGAAGTCTTCATTAATCCTTAGCAATGTTCTCTGGGTTCTTCTAAGTGATATAATATGTCCCCACATGAATCATTACTTGTGACATCAGACTTATCACAGGCTTATATCGTATGTTGCTTATATCATATACTAACTGTTCTATGTTCTTATCTTCCATTCTCATGCCTTCTGTGAATATATTCAAGTCATTCCACATGTCTGGAATATATTTCATCTTCATCTGTGGCTATTGAAACTTCTCTTCCTTCAAGGCTGTTTCAGGTTCCTTACTTCCCCCTCTTCCTGTAGCACCCTTTCCCCATATTAACCCCCAGCTGAAAGTGATTAACTCCTCCTTAAATTTTTCTTAACAGCAATTCGGATAATTCCCTTATCCCTATCATTTTCTACTTTATTGTGCTTACTTTTAGGACATTGCTTCAGGTTAAACATACTCATAAGAGATTAACTAATAAACCAGTCAGTGTATGAATCTGCAGAGGGTAGTGTATCTTTACAGAGACTGGCATAGATAGCAGAACCCATGAATATGACAGTCATGGGCTTTACTAATAATGTTGCATTTTTAAAAAAACTCCACTTCACAGGTTCTTTTAATTAATCAGATTATCTGAGAGGAGTTAAAAAATACTATTAAGTCTCTTAATGTCAAGTTTCCAGTTAATTAACCCATGGATTTCTGTGTTGTTGTTTGTTGTTGTTTTTAAATTTTGTTCAATTGACACATAGTAGGCACTCAATCAATAAATAATTATTATGTGTCTATAACTTATCAGGCATTGTATTAGGTCCTGGGGTTACAAGCACAATGAATGCAACAATCCCATTTGCAAAGGGCTTACATTCTAATGAGAGAAACAATAAGGACATATCCACTGAATAAATATAAGGAAAATAAGTACAAATAAGGTAATATGTGGGAGGTACCAGTATTTGAAGGAGGAAGAGAACAAATATTTATTATGTGCTTGTGCAATGTGCTAAGCATTTTGGAAATGTTATGCCATTTGCTCCTGGAAAGTAGATGTGCTATTATTACCCCATTTTACAGCTGAGGAAACTTGTAGGTAGACAAACAATTAAGTGACTTGCCCAGGGTCATTCCTTCTTATTTAATCACTTTAGTCATATCTGACTCTTTGTGACCCCATTTGGAGATTTCTTGGCAAAGATACAGTAACGGTTTGCTGTTTCTTTTTCCAGTTCATTTTACAGATGAGGAGTTGAAGCAAACAGGGTTAAGTGACTTGTGCAGGGTCACTCAGCTATTAAGTATCTGAGTCGGAATTTGAACTCAGGTCTTCCTGACTCCAGGCCCAGAGTTCTATGTACTTTACCACCTGCATGAAGGGATCAGAAAAGTCTTTATCTGGAAGGCGGTTCTTGAGCTGTTTGTTAAAGGAAGGGGGGAAGTCCATAAAGCAGAAGTGAAGAAGGAATGCATTCCCACCATGGGGGAGGAACTCTGCAAGAAGACACTCAAAAATGCCTATTAAATTAAATTGAATTGAACGGAGTTCGTTAAACAGAAATTCTAATTTTTACCCCCTCTGTCTAGTTCTTCTTCTGATAATGTACATGAAATGTAAATAATTGACTCCCCTTAAAAATGACTGAAAGTGTCTTCACTCTGCCACGTGAAAGTCATTGCCGATTGATGAAATTCAAAATAATTATGCATCACATACACAAAAAAGCACAATTGTTTGCCTTTCACTTATCCAGAATTTCTTATTCTTTCATTAAAGTCCTAGAGATAACCCTAATTCTTAAAGAAGACACCCACATTCTGTCAATTCCTATAAGCTAGAATGAGTTGGAGTACAGGTCATTAATAGACTGTGGGTGTTCCATATGATACCTTGCATAGCTAATTTTGGAGAGGCATATCAACAGGTTGGCTACAAAGTGTGATGAATTTTTATTGATAAAACCTGGAGACCATGAACTTTACCACAGAGGAGTTATAACTTATATTAGTGGAGGGAAAACATATGTAAATTAAATTATAGATCCTGGAATTAACGAGTATTTTTTTTTTTTTAGCCTCAAATGCATGGAGGTTCCAAAAATGCATTTCACCCTATCAAGTGTTATTCTATTTCCAATATGTTCCACTGACTGTGTTTAAGTGTCAATTATATAACCATTCAATATAATACATTTCAAAAATCTTGATCATTAGCTTTCTGGGTCATGTATTTGATTCCATCATATCTTAAAAGGAAAGAAATAACCAAAGGCTTTGAAAAAATTAAGGTCAACTGGAGCCTTGAAGATGATATGAACACAGAACATTTTCTGGGAGGTCAACTCTGCTTCTAAAATAGAAAACTCTGAACTTGATTAATAATGAGATATCACACTGTCTACTTTCACAAGCCCAATTTTTTTTGCCCTTTAAAATTATGTATTCTCTGAAAAGATGTTTTTATACTTTGGGGAAAGGACAGTAATATTCTTCATTAAATTAACAGGCAAATGAGGACAGTATATTAAAGGTGAAAAGTGTTATACATGTTACTGAGAACATGATAGAAAATCATAATGCAGAAAGGGAGGAGCTCAAGAATCTCTGGATTGCACGACAGCTTCAGGTGAACCAAATCAAATCCATTAAACAGCAGTGGGCGGCCTTTAAGGAACAGCTGAAAAAGGTAAGGGTCTTCTAGTTGAAAGGGGAAATCTGAGTCCATATTTCTGGTCCCTTGTGGTTTAAAAATAAGTTCATTGTGAAAACTCTATCAGGTCCCTCCATTTTGTAGAAACCTCCATGGCAACAGAGAGAGTTGATGAAACACGGAGATGAAACATCTCTAAAATGACAGTGAAATATTTGCTTTTACTCCTGAAGAAAGCATACCAAGCACCATTTGATATTTATTTCAGACAACTCAGAACTTGAAACTTCTTCAGAAAGTGTTTACCCCAGTGTCTGCACTTGATCTTGGAAGCAGCCTTCAGACTCTCTTAGATCTACAAAAAAAAAGGAAACAAATGAAGCCTCAGTTTCAGGTGAGGAAATAGATTGATGGACATTGTTGAGCAGCATGAAAATGGAAAAGCATTCAGTTGCAATTTGCATAATTTATTTCAATAGACTGGCAAATTACTCTCTTTTTAAAAAGAGAGAAAATTTCCTTCTATTAAAGTGCTAAAGTTCTCTTTAAAAACGCATTTTCTCCATTGGTTATTTTCTGTACAGCTGGAGGCATCTGTGTGTGTTTGAATACTCAGGCACATACATGATACTTTTTGTCTACAAGATACTGTTTATATGCTTTTTGAGAGTTATTTTCACTTAAATTGAAAGAATGTCAGGAGTGTATGCAAATGTGCATTTCTTCTAAATTATTAAAATAATTGACTTTGTTTTTGTAGACTGAAACTCCAAAGGAGGGGAGGTTGCCTACTGTTGGTAGGCATTCCATATCTTAGCCCATTGCAAGACCTCTGCCAACCAAATCATCCCTGTGTCAACCTGAGATTTACCCCTATAATCCAAGTTCCTTGCTACCAACCATGGCTATTTGTGGCTAATTCTCCTTTATCCCTTTGCCTTAAATGGCAAAGGTACAGAAGGAGTGGGTGATATAAAGACTGAGTCATGCTCATGGCTGCTGGCCAGACAGCATGGGTTGCAGTGCTTTTCTCCCTCTGAACCCCTCCTCAGCTTGGTGCAGGAGTGAAAAAAGGAGCCAGGGCATTCTACTGACAATATGTGCCATCTTCTTAACTTGGCATCTCTCTGCTGCAAAATTAGAACAGTAGACCAAAATCCACATCCTATCTTTTTTTGTCACTAACATATAATAATTGACTTTTAAGATTCACTGGTTTGTGAAGATAGAGGGTACTTCATAGATTTGTTTGTGTGTCAGCCTTCACTCATAGAATCACAGTATCTTGGAAATGTGAGGGACCTCAGGGGTTATCTATTCCAATCTCTTATCTGAACAGGAATGTTCTCTACTATACCTAATGTGGTCATTCAGCCTCCTCTCAAAGACCTTCAGTGAATGGGAAGAAAGAGGTAGTCCACTGTACTTTGAGACTGCTCTATCAGATTTTCGTAGAGTCATAATCTGCCTCCAAATTAACATCTACTCATTGCTTCTCTGGAGCCAGGCTGAACAAATCTCTCTTCCATACGATAGTCTTTCAAATGCCTGAAGTCTGCTTTCATTTCATTCTTCATCCTGTGTACTGCCTGCCAGGCTAAATAAACATTCTTAATCCCTTCAAGTTATCTTCATATGACATGTTTTTCAACCACTTCCCCATGTTGGTTATCTTTCTCTTTATGGAGTCCTCTTAGAAAATATTATCATTTTGTTCAGTAACTAATCACCACTGAGAATTTCTTTGGAGCCAATATAAATCTCTTAAGCAATAATTTAAGCCCAGGACATCTTATTTTATTTTCAAGACACCGGAGAATAGTCACTATTTTTATATGGAAATTTCCCACCTCCAAACTACATCTTACCTTCACTCTCTCTGTTCTCTTCCTTAGACAACAGGTATACTGCCAAAACCTCAACTCTAACTTTTATTCTGATAATTATCAAATCTCTACCTTGGGCCAAGACCTTCCTGTTCATCTTCAATTACCTTCTGAATATTTGTTGTTGTGGTGGTCGTTACTGCTGCTGATGTTATTTGGTTGTGTCCAACTCTTCGTGACCTCATGGACCGTACTGTCCATGAGAGGTTTTCTTGACAAAGATACTAGAATGGTTTGACATTTCCTTCTCCAGTAGATTAAAGCAAACAGAGGTTAGGTGACTTGCCCAGGGTCATACAGCTAAGAAGCATCTGAGGCCAGATTTGAGCTCAAATTTTCCTGGCTCCAGAGCTCTATCAACTGAGCCATCTAGCTACCTCAGTGACGTTGTCTAGCTGGACATTTTTACCAAGGGCCAAATAATATCTTTATCTCAAACTCAATTTGTCTAAAACTGACCTCATCTTCCATAAACTGGTTCTCTCTCTCCCAATTTCCTTGTTTTGGTCACTCAGACTCAACACTTCTGAGAACATTTTGACTTCTCTCTCTCCTTCTCTGCACCCCCCACCACTTCAATCCTATTTTCAAATCATCTTTCACATTTATTCCTTCTTTTTTATTCCCACTGCCTCCACTATATCCTTTTATGATCCTATGCCAACCTATTGCAAAAGCAACTGTTCTTTCTCCCTGCCTTTTATCTCTCTGCTCCAGTGCACTCTTCACAAGCCATCAGATTAATCTTAGTTAGATTAATCTTTTAAAAATAATCCTTTAGTTGTGTAACCACTCTGTTAAAAAAAACTTTCAATGTTTATTTTAGCGTAATAAAAAATTCAATGGTTTGGGATTCAAGGCCACCTCCAGAATGGGTCTAACTTTATTTTTCAGCATTACATTCTGCTCTTGTCAACTTAATGTGTTCACTATTTCCCTATCACCCCCTTGCTCTTATTTCTGTTTCTGAACCTTTATCCTTCCTGGTCACCCTACCTGGAATTCCAGACCCTTTTCATCTATTCACATAATATCCACTCTTAAAGCCTAGTAAAAAATCTCACATGTTCCTTAAAGTCTTCTTGGACTATTTCAGTTATCATTGATGTCTTCTTATCCTAAATATTAATTTCATATGCCATATATTTGAAATTTTGCACTATATAAGTTTTCATATGTGTTTAACTTCTTACCCCACTGGGATTATAATTATATCACATTTTATCATATCACATCATATCACATTTTAGGAATTTCATTGATAAACTGGAGAACTTCCAGGGAAAGGAAGTTAGGTCATACCATATGAAGGAACTAGAGATGGTTAGCTTACAGAAGACTTGATAGTGATCTTAAGTATTTGAAGAACTATTAGGTGGATAGGAATTAGTCTCTTTCTGTGAGACCTGAGGGAGAAAATTAGTAGCAATGGGTAGAAGTTTCATAGAAGTAGATTTCAGACCAATTTAAGGAAAAAACTTCCTTATAAGGGAAAGTTCTTTGTCACTTTTCCTCCATGGAATGCTCTTCCCCTTTTTCTTCACTTCCCTAAATCTCACTCTTCCTTCCAAGCCCAACTCCAGTTTTCTCCAAACATTATCAAAAAGTACAGTAGACTTCCTGAGTGTTTGATCTGACCAGTGCTAACAATAATGGGAGAACACTTTTTGGTTTCTGGGTATTGTGTGCTATTTACGAATCCCAGTGCCCTTGCCTCTTAAGTAACAGTTCAAAATTGCTGCTCAGCTACTGAGTCATTCTCATGATATTTCTGCCATACTTACACGTGGCAAACAATTTCCCATATTTGTTTAATTTTCTTGTTTTACTATCTGACATTTGTCTGTATTTAATGTTAAGCATAATTCTGTTATTTCACTTGTTAATGAATAAAAACTCTCTGCTGCAGTTACCTAGCATATTATTGTAATTTTATGAAGACTTTTTGGTATTTCCTAAAATAAGTAGTGTGATCTCAAAGCAGTTAGAGGTACCTCCTTCCCCCCTGTACCCCATGACAAACTTTACTATGCTATGACAAGAAGCATTTTTGAACATTGCAACTTTTTTTGATTCGCTCTAAGAAAAATCTTTAGTTCATTTAATTTTAGGGACAGATATGCCTTATTAAGGTAGTCACACAATTAAGAGGCTTTCCAAAAATTGGATTCATTTTATTGCCTTTCTCATTTTCTAGCAACTGGATGCTGAGGTCTGCTACATTCTAAAAGTATTTGAAGTGCTAAACCTTGAAGGAGCCCCTGTAAAGGAAAAAACTCAACAGGTAAAGGAGCTCACTCAACTTCACCAGGAACAGAAGGAGAGACTTGAAGATTATGAGAATATACTGTCTAAGGCAGTCCGGTTCTATCGAGTCAAGGAAGAAGTAAGAATTATAACACTTACCTTTCAGACTTTATTTTTCTGAAAATAAACAAAAATTAATTTTACCAAAAAAATGCCTTTTGTGACTTGCTTACAGGGGAAAATATAAACTACTGAGCTGACATCTGAGGTCTTCTATAACCTGTCCTCAAAGTCCTCTCTAGAATTTCTCTTTCATCAAGACTTTTCCTTAATGCAGTGGTTCTCAAATATTTTGGGCTCAGGACTTCTTCATATTCTTAAAAATTATTAAGGACCCTCCCCAAAGAGTTTTATATAAGATATATCCCTTGATATTTACCATATTGGATATTGGAAGATCTTAATATTATTGTGAAAATAGTTTTGACTTTGCAGGTCCCCTGAAAGAGTCTCAGGGACCCAAAGAGTTCCTAGAACACACTTTGACATTGCCCTAAGGGAAGAGTCCCTGGAACACACTTAGACATTGCTCTCAGGAAACCCTCACTCTTGCCAAACTGGACTGATCTTTGTCCTTCGCCATGTTATTCACATTTCCATTTTTGTGCCTTTCCACATATATACATATACGTAGACACACACATACACCCATCTCGGAATGTTCTTTTCCCTTTTTTCCACTTATCTGACTATCACCCTTCCTTCAAAGTCTAAATTGAGTATTTTTCCAACTGCCCCAGAATACAGTGTTCAATTCTTCCTCTAAAGTCATTTAAGCACTTATGGAGTTATTAATGTGGTATTAATGAGATAATTATTTTATGTAATCAAAATTATTTAGTAACAAGCTATTATTACTGTGATACTTAATAAGCAATTGATTAATTAATTATAGTGATGACACTGATAACTAAGGAAGTGATTAGTAGAATTTTAACTAGCTGGTTAAAAAAAATTAAAGTGAAAAAGTTGCAAACTTTGTGTAATTGTTAATCCATTGCATTTCAGCTGGAAAGTCTCACCAAATCAGAAGTGGAGTTTCTTGAGCCTGTTCTTGAATGGGATGACGCCTTCAGTGCTAAAGTTCTCCTCTCTGGTTCTCAAGAAAAGCAGGCTCACATAGAACATCTTTATAAACTGGCCCTGTCCTCGGGAACAGACATCATTTCAGCAGTGCAGCTACCAGTAAGCAATTTGGAAGAGAGACATCAGTGTTACCTAATTGTAGCTGGAAGTTGGACTACAACATAAAAGCAGTCTCCCTGATAGCTAAAAACCTATTGTAACACAATACTACATTATAAGCTGTAGTTATTGGTAGAATTGTTTCTTTTTTTCCCCATGTCACCCCGTGGCAAAAAAAGCAAACTAAAAAGGTAGAAATCAGAAAATGAAATTTATAGGTTCTGGAATCATTGAACATTAGAGACAGTCTCTTTAGATTAAAAACTTGGAGTTCAATACCTTTATTTGGTAGATGAGGAAACTGAGAGCTAGAGAGGGAAGTGACTTCCCAGCAGAATACATCTAGTTAGCAGCAGAGGCAGGATTAGAATTCAGGCCTCCTTATTTCTAGGCACTAAGTTGCAACACTAGTTCCTTCTTCTGTGATATCTGATCTGCTTTATAATATTCTAATAATAGCACCAGAAGAGCTGACAGAGGAAAACTAACTCAAAACTCTAATGAATAAAACACTAGACCCCAATTAATTTGAAAAATAAAAAAGAATTCTTGATGTGAAAAAAGGCCACATCCCATTACAGCATCAGTGAAGTCATCATGGATTCTTTGCTGACAATTGCTTTAAGGCTATTACTGGGTTGCATGGGTACAGTATGTCTAAAGTATTACCCCCTTATCCCCTGAAAAAAAAAACTCCAAAAGACATTGATAGGAAAAAAATGCTATTCCTGTTGGTCGGTTCAATCCCTATTCTAAGAAGAATCATTTTTAGGGAAAGCTTATCTTCGTGGAAAAATTTACTTTTGTAAGAGATTTTAGCAGAAGAGAGGAAAAGGTGCAGGACTCTTACTTTGTACAAATAACGTAAATTGTTCTCAAATCTGCATCTGTAATTTAGCCTTGCAGTTTCTGAGCAAAGATTCGAGACATGCATAACAAACCTAAGGTTAAGTTGGAGATGACAAGAAAATGATAGTGTAAGAACCAAGTTTTCTAATGCATATTTGATGCTTTTTGAAGGATAGATTATACCCTATAATGAATGGTGTCTCTGAGATGGTCGGATCTGATGAACAAATGGTCTGAACACAGAGCTTCAGGTCTGGGAATGTAATTGTTAGCATTTCCAATATTTGACGGTGGCTTCTCTCTGAAACAGTTGTATTTTAATAAGCTACAGTTAGGGGAAATCAGAAGTCATTTTATTTAAAAACAACAACAATGGTGTCGTTTAGAAACATCATATTTCAAAGTAGACTCCTATAATTACTGTTTGATCTTTTCTTCTCTGTAATTTTCTCTTTCTCTCTCTCATTTCTAGACTTGCTTTAATATTTCTGCAAAGACTGTCCAGCAGCAGCTCGAAATACTCCAAGGTGACAGTATGGCCTGGCACTCCAAAGCCGATAAGTATGAGGAGGAGCTGACCCACATTTTACAGTACTGCTCTACTAAAGAAGAGATAAATGAGGTCTGGTGGAAAGAAGCTGTAAATGACCAAAAGCTAGGCTATGCACTAACACTGGCAACTGCTTGGTATTTATTTATTCTTCATCTGTGCCCAGTGTACCAGAAGGGGGCTTTCTATTTACCAATGGTTTTTATCCATTGAGCAGTAGTAACCTCTGGGTTTGGGGAATCTGAGCTTCTTTCAAGCTTAGATGATATGAATGTCTTCTCATGTAGAGGAAACAATGTAGAGGAAACAGTGGTTCAGAACAGAAACTTTGGTTGTAATATTGAGCACCGATTTTGAAATGGCTTCTAACTAGAGTACATAGATTTCTTCCAAAAATGGCTAACTGGAAGGGAGGTGCTGTTCTTATCCCTGTAACATCTTTGCTAACTCTAAATTCTGTGATCCTATGTCATCAGCAAGGCAGCTGGATATGGAAATCAGTGAAGTTCAATGTAGAGACTATATAATTTTGGGTAAATTGGCCAATATTCTTTGGAAAAATACAGAGTAACAAAATGCAGTGGAATGCATGCCACTTACTATCTGTGTGACTTTGGGCAACTCTTATCATTTCTAACCCTTCATTTCCTCATCTGTAAAATAAGAGTGGGATAGATGACTTCTACGGTTCCTTAAATCTTCATTCCTATGATTAACAAGGTCAAATGTGTGATCTTACTCAAATAGAGTGCTTTTTTCCCCAGCAAAACAAATGTATCATAGTAAAATGAGGCAACAAAAGAGCCTCTATCCCCTTTCCTTGTCCTTCTCCCCTCTCTGTCTCTCTCTCTGTCTCTCTTCTCTGTCTCTCTCTGTCCCCTCTTTGTCATTCTTCTCTATCTGTTTCTCTCTTTCTCTCTGTCTCTCTGTCTCCTCTGTCTCTCTCTTTCTGTCTCTGTCTCTCCCTGTCTCTCTTTGTCTCTGTCTCTCTTCTCTCTGTCATTCTTCTGTCAGTTTCTCTTTCTTTTTCTGTCTGTCTCTCTCTGTCTTTCTGTCTCTGTCTGTCTCTCTCTCACACACATACATACACACACATACATACACATACACACAAAACTGCAGGATTTGAGCTAGAAGCCCCCTTTTAACTTTAAATCTATGATACTGTGCTTCAGTTTATCCAGACCCCTCTTTATGAAAAGGAAATTCCAGAAAGGCTATTCAGCTTAGCCAAAATCACTTACTAAGACCTTAAATAGCACACAGTTTCCTATCACACGAAGGAGAATGAGCTAGATTCCACCCCTCCCTTCCCCCTCTTACTCTAACCTCTCAGACTCTTATGGTTTCCTGGGTACAATAGGACAATGGCACTAATTAGGATGTGGGGCATATGCCTGTACCAGGGTGGGCAACAAGAATGAGTACTTCTGAGTTTTGAGTTAAATGTTCCTTTCCATCCCTCGAGGAAATGAGAACGCCCTGCTCTAATCCATACTACTTATGTTTATCTTATTAATTCTAGATCCAAAAATATTATCAGAAACTGTCATCTCATAGTAACATAGTAAGAAAAATCAGTCACTTAGCAGTGGCCTAGTTCCAAAATGCAGGGAATACCCACTTGCCATTACCCACAGCATAATTAGCCCTGTGGTTTTAGATTTCAGGCAGGTGCATGTCCTATAAAATGATCATGACTTGAACATGGCATGAGAGAGAATGTGGCCCCTTCCCTTCTAGATCCAGAACAACAGGAGGGAAACAGGAACAGAGCTTTGACAACTATTTTTATTTCAGTCCTGTGCAAATGATTGTAGAGCTTTGCTATCCTTTTTTTGTGACCCAGGAGATATAGCTTTTTGGGACTGAGACAAGTTTGCTAGTTTGGGGCTGTGAGTTATTAGATATAGTCCCTCTGCTATCCAGAGATATAATAATTGGGTCTTCTGGGTGCCCCCAAGTTATAGTCTGCAACTAACATTTCCTTTCTTAGTAAGAACTTGCAAGGCTTTGTTAAAGAAAATACCCAGGGACTTCAGCTCATTTCTAAAACAGGACTACAGTCTCATACATTTTGACTAGAGCAGCTGGGGAAGCATTTTTTTTGTAATTTTTTTTCTAATACGGCCTTATGATCCCTTGTTCCCGAACAAAATCACTTTCCTGTACTCAAGGTCACATCATATGGCTGCTGACTTTCAAATTCTATGATTATGTGACTCATTCCTTCTTTATCATTGTGTTTACTGTACAAAAGTGATCATTCCTAATCCTTCAGAGATAGTCAAGCAAGGCATTTCTGAATTTATTGATGACATAAGTAGGACTACCTCCAGCTGCCCTTAGCCCAGTGTCTGTTTGTACTATGGGGAGACTAGCCAGGGTCTGTCATCTGTGGAGCTGGGTCTGGCTGATGGGATCCCAGATTCAGTACTTCTATTTATAGGGCTACCACCTCAGGGTAGAAAGCCTTTCCAGAAGCCAGGGGGAACAGAGCTACAAAGGTAGCTTCCAGGACTGACAAAAGTGTTTCTGGATTAGCCAGCCAGGTGATATCAGGGATGACCAGCCTTATAACAAAGACTAGTGCACACAGCTGGTTCTGTGGTCTAATAGGAGAGTTTTGCTCTGTGTTCCTAGACTAGAGACGGAAAAGGGGGGGGAGGCAGCCAATCATATGAGTTTCAGTGTTATCTCTAGCACTGAATGATATAACCAGGGTAGGCTGGGATAGAGATTTTGTTGTTTGTACTTGGAGTCCTGTGTATCTTGAGTGAGTGGTTGGTATATTTAACATTGTTGTTTTTCTGTCATTCAAAAGCTAATTTACAAATTTACTATTATTTGTCACTTTATTTGCTAATGGAACAGCAGTCCTAGCATTGCTTAGTTCAATTGGAGGTAAAACTATCATGGAACCTTAAAATTTTAGAGCTTCAAGAAACCTTAGATATCATCTTGTCCAATAACCTTATTAACCATATAAAGAAATTAAGGCTTAAAGATGTCACACGACTGCTACAACATTACAAAGCTAGTAAAAGGGGAAGCCACAATTTAAGCCTACATCTCCTAACATTCAAAGAAATGCTCTTTCCACTATACTATGAATAACTTATTAATGAACCAAGCATCTATTAAGCACCTCTTCTATGAACCCTACAAGGTGCTCTACAATTAAAAAGGATACGTACAGGATATAGACTTGGAGCTCTAATTTGATTCTTTGGAGAATCAAAACGTACACATGTGAAACAAAGACAATTGTAAGAGAACTTGTAAGCAATGTCATGTTTCTATAGTATAGACTGTACTTGGGAAGAAAGCAGGATATCATGGACATGGTGGTCAACACAGAAGACCTGATTTCATAAGACCCAGAGTTTTCAAATATCAGCTTCACTATCTACTAGGTATGAGGTCTTAGGCATGAAGTGGTTTTATCTTGGTAAGCTGAAGCTTTTTCATATAAAAAATAAGGATGATATTTTCACTACTTAACCCACAAGGCTATTGGCAGGAAAAAAAGCATTATAAAGTGCTATATAATTATGAATTGTTATATAAGTTTTGAGGGAATTTAGAGTAAAAGAAAAGCCACCCCAAGTTGAGTTAGTTAGGGAAGGCTTTTTAGAAGAAATGATATTATCTTGGCTTTTAAGACAGTCTAATAAGAGGATGGGGCAGAGTACAAGTAAAGTCAGACACAAAGATGACCTAAGAATATATGCTGGATGATAATTCAATTAAGTGTTTATTGACAGAAGCCAGCTTCAGAATCAGGAAAATCTGTCCTCAAAGCTCACCTCTGCTACCTAGAGACCAAATGATTCTAGGTTACTCACAACCTCTCAGTGTCCTGGATAATTCCTTAAGACACTAACATAGGGCAGTTTCTGATATGCATCAGTGAAGTGAATTCTGAACTTAGATGAAACTTATATGCAATTCTGATGCTTCCTGAACCAATGAAAGTGGTCTGCACCAACAAAACAGGTCCTGGTGGTAGCCTGCTAGATGCCAAGTATAAAAAGATAAAGAACGACAGCAACACAATCCCTGTCTTTAGGGAACAATCTGATTGGGTGTGGGAAACAGTACATACACAAATGAGTAAGATATAAGGCAGGATGAATTAAGGACAAAATGCATTAGGAAAATTGGACATGGTAGAGATCATTTTTGCCTGGAGAAGAGGGGTAGATCCAGAGAAGTTTCAGAGGAAAGTGGTATCTAAGATCATGGCTGAAGACAGAGAATTTCAACAAGCTATGATGAAGGAGCAAATTCCAGGCAAAGGCATGTATGCAGCCTACTTGAATGTACAAAATGGGAGAGGCCAGAGAAAAGCTGAAGAACATTGCCCTTGTGGGTCCTGATGTTATATTATTAACAGAAAGAGAAAACCTAAGTAAAAAATACAGTAAATTAGGGTAGATTTGATTCTCACCATAAAATATGTAGCTGCTGTGCAAAACAGCATCAGCTCTCTGGGCTTTTCAACCTAATGCAGGCTTAATGGAAAAATAATTGTAAGGTATATTTCCAGTGGTCCTTAGTCTAAATAATGAGTACTTGTTATGTTTTCTGTTATGGAACTCAAAATAGCAAGAAACAGCTGAATTCCACAATGCAATAAATGGTGGTGTTTGGCATACAGACATTATTATTACTGTGACATCTGGGGCACTTGAAACACTAGGTAAAATACAAAATTTTATTGAACTAATTTTTATTATTATTTACAGAGGACAGGGTACTCCATAAAACAATAATGTTAGGTTCCTTACCCAGCAGCCTACCATTTTATTAAGTCAGCTACAGAACTTAATAGAAAGGACATTTATTATACGTTGCTTGGCTGCCAAGATTTGAAAGTCCTTCACAAATGATGTTTACATGAACACTAATTGACCACCACTTGTCAGTGGGCTAATCAGAGTCCTTGGGATATTCTTCTCTCAGCATCTCCCTGGAAAGTAGAGTTTAGTTGGGTCTTATCCACATGGTCTCTGTTTCTTTCTTTAGGATATAAATCACTCGTCTTCTCAAAGCATTTTCTACCTGTT